TTTCTTTAATTTTCCCACAGATTAATTCTCTGATTATGATTGATCAGTGTGATTTGTCGATTATAAGCAGATTTTTCAACAAATTACATTACAACTAACAATGAATAGTGAATAAACGCTAAAATCTGTCATAGATATGCATTGATTAACATTATCATTCTTTACAATAATACAGTGAGAGAAAATGAACGATGAAGATTAAAACAAATAATAATCATTTACCAAATAGTATTAAAAAATTAGATTTTAGAAGTTCATAAGTTAACAACTATTCTAAAGAAAAGGAAATACGTACAAACAGGGGCAGATAAGAAATATGTATATCAGTGTTGGTTCTGAAAGATTTTAGCTATGGTCGTTTTATATTGTTTGAAATAATTCCATAGATGACAAATAATTGACTGGAACCCTTGAAATGGATGAATTAAAAAGTGATTTTATATATATATATATATATATATATATATATATATATATATATATATATATATATACTAGGATTTCCCAAAAAGCCAACCTGTCATGCCAACTACTTCATTCCCTTTTGTTAAGCTAGACGTCAATATATCCTGGTTCTGAAAAGCTAATTAGTTGTGCAACAAGAGCAGTGGTTTGACCCTGTAACAATTTGATAACCACATTATTCTTGCCCTGTAGAACAATTGTCTGTTTATTACTAAAATCTGCATGTTATTTCGGTTTATTTGCTGAGGTGGTCTTGAAGCACTACAAATCCAGTCTAAGATGACTTAAATCTGGCTTTTTACAAAGATAGTGGTTGTTTTCTGTTGAAGGAACTGACCGAGTTGTTTACAAAGGCTTGGCAAATAGAGTGTTCTAACACCATGGAATGAGTCGATAGTTTTCCGTGTCTTAAAAAAAGGTTCACCTCAATTACGCGACAACTATCGGTGGATAAGTCTACTTCAGATAGCGTCCAAAATTTTGGCTTCCGTCATACCTCATATGAAAGCAGATTGAGGGCATACAACCACCTCTCTCCACTGTTCTATTCAAGCAGTATGGTTAGACGTGGTTGCCCAACCTCACCATTCCTCTTCAACTTTTCCATCGATGACGTTCTGGAAGATCTGATGAATGTAGGTGATGGTGGTGCGGATCTGCTGCCTGGAGAAAGACTTTTTGGACCTTCAGTATGCACATGATATTGTCTTGCTGTGAGATGATACCCAAGTCATGAAATCCGCACTTAATAAATTGGCGACCAGTGTCCGGAAGTATGGTATGTGCTTTGCACGGGCCATAGGACATAACAAGTATCTGGAATCTTCTAAGTGCAAAGTACTTTTACAAGACTGACAGGATCCTGACCCTGCACTCACATTGTGCAGTGAGATGATAGTGGTCGAGAAGTTCGTGCATCTGCATAAGTGACGAGACCAATCCCAGTATAGTGAAAGTCAGAATGGCTTATGTCAATCTGGGCCATCTTTGGCGCCTTCGTGATGTTAGTCTGGCTATAAAAGGTCGGATCTACAACGCATCGGTCAGAGCAGTTTGCTATATGCTTATGAAACATGACCTCTTCGAGTCGATGATGTTAGACGACCCTCTGATTGATCGTTTTATCTGAAGGATTGCTGATATCTAGTTGTCACACCATGTTAACAATGCAGAGTTTTAGCATCGTGTATCCGGGATCGGGGACGACAACAACTGATTTCTTCATCTCAAAACACCGACTTCAGTGGCTCTGTTGCCTGGAGAAAGACTTCTTGACCTTGAGTATGCGGATGATATTGTCTTAATGTGCGAGAATGTTCAATCCATGCAATCCGCACTTAATCAGTTGGCAATCAGTGTCCGTAGGTATGGTATGTGCGTCGCACCTTCGAAGTGCAAAATACTTCTATAAGACTGACAGGATTCTAATCCTGTACTCACTCTGGATGGTGAGCAGATAGAAGTAGTCGAGAAGTTCGTGTATCTAGGTAGCTGCATAAGTGCTGGTGGTGGTGTGAGTGATGAGATCAATGCACGTATAGTGAAAGCCAGAGCGGCTTATGCCAATCTGGGCCATCTTTGGCGCCTTCGTGATGTTAGTCTGGCTGTAAAAGGTCGGATCTACAACGCGACGGTGAGAGCAGTTTTGCTCTATGCTTGTGAAACCTGGCCTCTCCGAGTTGAGGATGTTAGACGACTCTCTGTGTTTGATCATCGTTGTCTCCGAAGGATTGCTAACATCCAGTGGCAACACTATGTCAGTAATGCAGAGGTTCGGCATCGAGTGTTCGGTCACAGAAACGATAATGAAATTGGTGTCACCATCTTGAAACACCGACTTCGGTGGCTTGGACATGTTCTACGAATGTCGTCCCAGAGAATTCCTCGTCGTGCATTATTTGCCGACTCTGGGACTGGTTGGAAAAGCGGAGAGGTGGTCAGTATATGACATGGTGTCGTGGTATGAAAGAAAGCTGCAAAGGGCTAGCTTCTGTTGGTCCTTCACGACTACCTGGTTGGGGTCCGAGAGACTGTGTAACGCAGTGGCTAGAGACGTTATCAGATATTGGCTCAGAATAGAAGCCAATGGCGATCCTACTGTAACCTTCTTTTACTTTCTTCATAAAAAGTGGTTGTATCTTTCTTAACTGAAAGATCTCTTCTGATTTTACCTTTTGTTTCCCCCACGATTGTTCTCTCTCTTTTTATAATTCCCCACGTTCATTACTTTTTCCTCTTTTCTCCTTCTCTTCAAATTATCATTGTTTTGTGTGGCGCATATATATTTGGTGCCCCTCTGTACCAATATTTATGTGTTCAAATAAATAAATAAATGGATATGTTCTACGAATGTCGTCCCAGAGATTTCTACGTTTTGCTTTATTTGCCGACACTGGATCTGGCTGAAAAAAGCGGAGAAATAGCCAGTATATGACAGTGTCGTGGTATGAAAGAAAGCCGTACAGGACTGGCTTCCCTGGTTGGTGTGCTAGATATGGTGCAACACGGTGGTTAGAGACGTTGTCAGATATTTGCTCAGAATAGAAGCCAGTGCCGATCCTTCTGTAACTTCCCTTTACTTCAGAAAAAATGAATGTAACTTTTTTAAGTGAAAGAATGCTTTCTGGTCAGACTTTTGTTAACTGAACCGCTTCTCCTGTTATTATTTCTCCCACACACTAATTTCAGTTAGTTTTTTTTTATTATACGCAATTTACATCCTCACATGTTCACAACCACATTGTTATTGTGGGACATATGAATTGGTGGACCCTTGTATCAATATTTATGTGTTCAAATAAATAAATGTATAGAGCACTCATTGTTTTTCAGCCTTAAGCATTCCACCAATGCGAAGTGACTGGTTTTTGAGTTAATATGATAAATTTTAGATTATTAGGTAATTAAGAGAATTCTTGAACTACCGAGCTTGGTTTCATTGTCATAAATGTCAACCAATTCCCGATAACAGCAGGTTATAACCGCCTGGAGCACTTCTAAGGTTATTCCTGATACAAAGTCAAAGCAAATGAAAAAAGCTGGACAAACGTTTAGCGATCTCATCCCATGAAAAGACCCTTGTCCAGAAAAATTTCACAAGAAGATAAGAGCAAGTTGTATTTCTACGTTGTTTACCACCATAACCTTCGCCAAAATAGCAAATTGCAGGCTAGTTATTTCCTGGATAAATGTGTTTGGTTTTAAAATAATGCAATGAACGTTCCAGGAAAATTTAGTCATTGTGTTACAGTGAACAGAAATAGCCTCCCAAAAGCATGGTGATCAAAATGATGTATGTTGCTGAATGCACCGTTTTTCTGTGGTATAATTTACCACAAACCTGTATAGTATAATTTTATTCTTATGATAATGTCAGAGATTTCCTTCAGTAACTTGATTTCTTTTCTTGTGGTTTAACCGATTTTTTCCCAATCTACTTCATCATTCCCTTTAATAAAACTGACAGTGGGCTTTAGAACTAATGATAATTAAACGGATACTTGATTTATACAAGTGTACTTTATTTGGTTATAGGGAAATGGGCTTCTGAGAATTAGTTGCTTTTTGCTTCATAACTAGATATAAATCAGTATTTCATTAATATTAATAATAATAAATAATATTCTTAGTCTGCTTACATTAATGCACTAATATAATTAGCACAAAGAAAATGAAAGATAATATTAAGTTAAACAAAGCTCAGTAAACTTCGGAGTACAAATAAACAATGGTAATTCTAAAGAATCAATTTTATGTACAATTAAATATATATAAGAAAATATCCATAACTTAGATCAAATGCTTAAAAAACGGCTCAACTGTGATATAAAAAATTGGTAGTAGTTTATGTATTCCTCCTGTTGTCATCGAAAACTATGGTTCCATACTGAAATGAACCGGCGTCTAGTGCTTCATTGTTTTTAATGGTGTGTGATCAATCCGCTATAAATATCACTAATAAATAAAACCACAAAAAACGTTCATCATTTTTTTAATTAACAACAAATCAGTTACAACAACAATCCTATTGTAATTGACTTTCACGTAAATGTACGGTGGTGAACCCGTCTCATCACTCCTTATGTTATTACACAACTAAAACTAATCTAGTGAAGTAACTGGAACCTGGAGAAGGTTGAACGAAAAAATCCATTATCAGACAGTATTCTTGCTCAATACCAGAAACTTTTCTAAACATATATACAGTAACACTTTTATCTTACATGTAGATACTATCATTCGTACATCATTATTTAAAATACCCATGTATAAAACTCCTAGGTGAATTTAATCCTAAGAATCCCGAAACTTCTTATTTAACACTTGTACATCATCAACTAAAAAAATAATTAATGTATATGATCTACTAGACAATAGAATAGTGCGCTATCAATATCGTTGAGTTACATAAGACACAAGTGGACAATCAATTTACCCATATATTTTTATACAAAGATTTTATTCACAGTGTTAGTAGCATTACAAAATAATAGAACAGTTTCTTTAAGAAAATCTGATGTATAAGATAAATTTGTTCAACATGTCACTTGACCTTCAAACAACGAATTTAACGTGGTACATTGGACAGGTTTTAAATTTTTCTCAGCTTGCTGTTGAACAGTTCTGAAGAACAAACACAAAAATTAATGAGGTCGAAGCAAAAAATGTCATCAATTTATAATAAAAACAAAATTAAGAAAATATCCAATCTAGCTTTCGAGAACAATTTGAATCGGTTAAATAAAAATGGTGAGCATAGAGAACATGAATGCAATCGGAATTTAATCATAAACTCAATAAAACTAAAAAACTCAAGCTTTATTTAATAGCTGAAAAAATAACTATTGTATGTCAAACTAGGATACCTAGACAAGGTTTATGAAATTTTTGAATAGATGAGTTACGATACCGGGTAGGCTATTTTCTAAATTCAAATTGACTACAATCAATGGTTGAACAACGAAAATCAACTGAAAGAATATAAAATTGTCGGTTCATAGGTTAATGGTTTAACTAAATCCCATGAAATAGTGCATGTATTAGTACAGTTAATGAAAAGATAACCAGATTAAATTACAAAGTAAATAAATGCATTACATTAAATCACATTCAAGTTGTAATTATATTTTACCTGGCTTCTTTAGTTTTGCCGTTCATTATTAGTAATTTGATACATTCTTCATACAGAAGTTTACGTTTAGGATGAACAGTTAATTGTTCTTGTAGCAAGCGTATTCCACGATCAACATCGCCATATTCAAACTCAATTCTCGCAACACTGCACAGAAAAAAAAACATATGGCAGATAATATAAATGTATAACAAAGCACAAAAATAATATTAAGCAGAACCAATGGAGAATAAAGCAAATAAATTTAGTTTTACAAAATCCAACCTTTTGTTATTAAACTTATAAATTCAGTTTGTCATCATCAACATAGAGCCTAGAAAACATGTGCGACGGCTCAATTTACCATAAAACGTGGATACGACTAGAGGAATTCGAAGTATGCATATAAATTGAAAAAGGAATATAAGTAATGAAGCACAGCGATAGTAAGAACAACTAAACATTGAGAATACTGCTCAAAGATAGAGTGGAAAGAAATGTAAGTTATGATAGAACTTAAAACTATGAGAGAAATAAAAAGTGAACGTATCTGCGCAGGTGAGAACGATTGTGAACGACGTGTTGTTCGGAGTTGACGTACGAATGCTAACCAGGTAGTTTACATCTACGTCACACTCGTAAATTAGTGAGAATATGCTAAAAGGATGATGAAAACTACAAACATACTATGAAGTACTGAGAAAATATGGTTGGACAGCAACCTTGCTGATGTGTATATTAACGTAAATCACATTGAACTGATTTAAACATCTAAAAACCATTTCGATTGTTTGGGAACATATTCAAATAACAAAATCAAAGATTCTTCGAATCAATTGTACAGACTAATATATAAAGCTTTGGGGGAAGAATTTACAAGTTATAGACATATTTTTACAAATGTCAACAAGTGGCAATAGTTTAACGAATGAGTTCTGACTCCGATTTGTTCCATTCCTTTTTGAAGTATATTAACAAAATTGAAGTGTTGTCTGGAATAGTAAAATTCATCTATATTGCAGGTCATGCTACATAAACAACTAATAAGGTAGTGATTGGAGTTAGTTGATAAGAAACCCTAGACCTAGGTTTCGTGGCATTTATCACTCGTCAGCAAGATTTATCTGTTCTCTTGAAGAGAATTCGATACCATGTCATACAGATAAACGTAAAAGACATTACCACAGAGTTATCCAAGCTGTGACTGACATACAGGGATAAGATGTATTTACAATTGATTGATCACGAAGTGGTCCCAAATAGAGAGAAACGTACGTCCAGCTTTTCCTGCCGATCACCCCCGACCAACTTAAATCTCAATATAGATCACGTGATGTTGAGCTAATTTGACTAGTTGCGATATTGCAGCTTGATTGATAGAATTCAATCAGCACTAAAGGACTTGGCATACACGACATTATTATTATTATTTTAACACATAGATATCGGTACAAGGAGGCACCGAATACATATGTACCACACAGATCTCATTGGATATGTGTGAGGGCTGTGATACTGCCCGGGTGCCCAAACCGAAGCAGGTGGTTTTCTTAGGGGGCCACACCCCGAGCCTTCGACCTGGAGATCTGATACACAAGGCAGTGGAGCATCGTAAGGAGATGCAGTCCCATGGAAGCCGGTGACCAACGATTGGTTCATACGCCATTTGTCCCATCAGGATACTGGAGCCCATGTGCACCATTGGTTTGGGATCTGGTTATAGCGCCGGACATTCGCTTTTCGTCCAGGCCCACCCCACTCTCGGCCATACCAGGGCATTTGGGGGCATACACGACATTATTCACTACCTAGTGACCAGTCAACTGTAAATATAAACAATTAGTGCATTATATAACAGATTTCAATGAGACCTGTATCTGCTTTTACTTCAATAAAGAACGTATTGAATGAAGTGTGGAGAAAGTACTTAGTAGCCATTCGCAATACCCCAAGAGAGGCAAGGATGTAATTAACATATATCTAATTTGTTCTTATATCAAGTTTTACAACGCAATTTTCCAGAGCGGGAAATAAATATTATTTTAGTACTTTGAGTAAATAAGTGGTAACAAAAGATGTATAAACATGATGGAAAATAAATTTTAAAAAACCATAGGGTGCAACACCTCACCCAATAGCAAGTTGTGGAAGAAGAGAAGATTTTAACAGCGAGGCCGAATTTCGTTGTGCTTCTCGAGCAGCTTCGACATTACCAGCTCGAAATCGAACTCTTATAAGTGAAAGCCAATGGTCAACATCGTTTGGACAAGATTTGATTTGGCGGCGAGCTAATTCCTCAGCGCGCTATAAAATGAGTAGAAATATAACAATAAACTGCAAATTGTGAAAATCCACTTGGAGCTCAAGTTAAAATTAATTATACATGGAAAAAAATTTAGTAGTAAGACATAGTGGAAATATTTTAGGTTAAGAACTGTTAGATGACTTTAAAGGTTGTTCATTACGAATCAATAGTTATTAAAACACTGGAAATCGAAAAGTATGGGATTGTTTTTACTTGAAATTAAACCAGAGAGTGTTCAAACACTAGTACACTGATAGACAGATAACAGAAAGAATATGAAACAGCCGCATGTAGCTTCAAGTAACTGCAGTCTTTTACAGAACACATGAAAAGGCAGCCCAAAAACTAAGTACACCGACAACAGTAGAAGAAATAAAGAGCATTACAAAAGTGAAGGGATAAGATTGTAAAATAATAAACTGATCATGGTGTAGATGTAATAGTATCCATTTTCGGTAAGTAACTGCTTCACATTTAACAGTGATGAACTTTACTTTTCATAGCTTCTCACTAAAACTTTGGACTCACATCTCGATATATATATATATATATATATATATATATTTAATCGTCGAGTTAACTAATGATGTATTCGAATTAATAATGAATATCGATGCAAAAGCATATTTACTGGTTTGTAGTTATTCATATTAATAATTACAATCACAATAATGATAATTTAATAATAATAATAATAATAATAATAATAATAATAATAATAATAATAAAAGTCTAGGTTGTTGTTGACGGAGATTCATAACAGAAAGCAACTAGTAATTAAGAAGACAATGGATAATAATAATCTTGTAATTAAAATATCTTGATTATGCTTTGATAAATTTATATTAAACTAGAGAAGGAAAAATATTAATGGTAGTATTCGTACTTTATTATTATTATTGTTACACAAAACACATACATTTCAATGCACAAAATGTACTGACAACTCACTCCCACTACGATCAGATACACAAATAAAAATCCGTGTATTACACAATATAAAGAATGAATAAAAAGTAATAACCTTATACAAATGTCTATATGCGATATAAGTAGAGATAATAAATGCCAGTGTTATTAATAAACGATATATTGGAAAGTGGTAAATATGTAAAGAATTCTAATCATTTTTAGGAGTGATAAATTAGAAATGATACTCCTGTAAAACATTTATCATTGTTTGTACTACTACTATTTGTATAGTATTTGAATCTCTACAAGTTTAAGTTGCCGAAGAAAAACCCAGTTTAAATCAAAGCGTTAGCAACTAATAGTCTAGCTTACTAATTTATACCAAAAGTTGAGCTCGAGAACAGGGAGTTCGTGGATTTACAGTATAATCCCACATAATTCGCTAAGTCAATTCAACCGACTCGACAAATCATTGTAAAATCCTGGCCAAATAACAAGTGTAATAATGTGTTAACATTGGTTAGCAGAGAAGTGAAAAAAAAAACACGGAGAATATCAATTATAATTTGTCTGTGTTATTGATAACCACCAAAGAACACCTGGATACAAATAAACATGACCAATTGAGAAGGTGAAACAAATATTAACGAAGTTTATCTATTGTGAAACTATAATGTCTTTATTTTTTTTATAAAACAGTGTTTTTTTTCTCTTTTTTCAATGAAACATGAAAATAATAAACCAATGGAAAAAGAAAACATGATATTGTACGACTGTCAATCATTCAATATGTCAGTGGTCTTTGTATGCTTCTATGTGTTTATATAAGAAATTACTCTTATGAATAGAACAATAATTGTATGATTAATACAGGTATCAAGAATATGTCGATTATTATTTATTTTATTATTTTATTTCATTTAAACACATAAATATTGGTACAAGGGGGCACCAAATATATATGCGCCACACAAAACAATGAGAAATTAAAGAGAAGTGGAAAAAGTAACGAACGTAGGGTTATAAAAAAAAGAGAGAGAGAGAGAACAATAGTGGAAGAAACAGAAGGTACAATCGGAAAAAATCTTTCAGTTAAGGAAGATACAACCACTTTTTATGAAGAAAGTAAAAGAAGGTTACAGTAGGATCGCCACTGGCTTCTATGCTGAGCCCTATCTGATAACGTCTCTAGCCACTGCGTTACACAGTCTCTCGGACCCCAACCAGGTAGTCGTGAAGGACCAACAGAAGCTAGCCCTTTGCAGCTTTCTTTCATACCACGACACCATGTCATATACTGACCACCTCTCCGCTTTTCCAACCAGTCCCAGAGTCGGCAAATAATGCACGACGAGGAATTCTCTGGGACGACATTCGTAGAACATGTCCAAGCCACCGAAGTCGGTGTTTCAAGATGGTGACACCAATTTCATTATCGTTTCTGTGACCGAACACTCGATGCCGAACCTCTGCATTACTGACATAGTGTTGCCACTGGATGTTAGCAATCCTTCGGAGACAACGATGATCAAACACAGAGAGTCGTCTAACATCCTCAACTCGGAGAGGCCAGGTTTCACAAGCATAGAGCAAAACTGCTCTCACCGTCGCGTTGTAGATCCGACCTTTTACAGCCAGACTAACATCACGAAGGCGCCAAAGATGGCCCAGATTGGCATAAGCCGCTCTGGCTTTCACTATACGTGCATTGATCTCATCACTCACACCACCACCAGCACTTATGCAGCTACCTAGATACACGAACTTCTCGACTACTTCTATCTGCTCACCATCCAGAGTGAGTACAGGATTAGAATCCTGTCAGTCTTATAGAAGTATTTTGCACTTCGAAGGTGCGACGCACATACCATACCTACGGACACTGATTGCCAACTGATTAAGTGCGGATTGCATGGATTGAACATTCTCGCACATTAAGACAATATCATCCGCATACTCAAGGTCAAGAAGTCTTTCTCCAGGCAACAGAGCCACTGAAGTCGGTGTTTTGAGATGAAGAAATCAGTTGTTGTCGTCCCCGATCCCGGATACACGATGCTAAAACTCTGCATTGTTAACATGGTGTGACAACTAGATATCAGCAATCCTTCAGATAAAACGATCAATCAGAGGGTCGTCTAACATCATCGACTCGAAGAGGTCATGTTTCATAAGCATATAGCAAACTGCTCTGACCGATGCGTTGTAGATCCGACCTTTTATAGCCAGACTAACATCACGAAGGCGCCAAAGATGGCCCAGATTGGCATAAGCCGCTCTGGCTTTCACTATACGTGCATTGATCTCATCACTCACACCACCACCAGCACTTATGCAGCTACCTAGATACACGAACTTCTCGACTACTTCTATCTGCTCACCATCCAGAGTGAGTACAGGATTAGAATCCTGTCAGTCTTATAGAAGTATTTTGCACTTCGAAGGTGCGAAGCACATACCATACCTACGGACACTGATTGCCAACTGATTAAGTGCGGATTGCATGGATTGAACATTCTCGCACATTAAGACAATATCATCCGCATACTCAAGGTCGAGAAGTCTTTCTCCAGGCAACAGATCCACACCATCATCACTTACATCCATCAGAGCTGTTTCCAGAATGTCATCGATGGCAGAGTTGAAGAGGAATGGTGAGATTGGACAACCCTGTCTAACACCACTGCTTGAATGGAATAATGGAGAAAGGTGGTTGTATGCCCTCACTCTGCCTGAGGTGTTTGTGTATATGGCTTTTAGGATGTTAATAAACTTCTCAGGCACACCCTTCTTCAATAGACAATCCCAGAGAACAGTCCTATCCAATGAATCGAAGGCAGCCCTGATATCAAGAAACACTACGATTGTTGGCCTTTGATAAGTATGGCGGTGTTCTAACACTTGGCGGAGGGTGAAGATATGATCAATACATCCTTGACCAGAACGAAACCCAGCCTGCTCCTCGCGAGTCAATCCTTCTCGTGTTTTGAACAATCTACGAAGTATAACGGAAGCCAATAGCTTGGACGCAATCGGAAGTAGACTTATTCCACGATACTTGTTACAGGAACAACGTGAACGCTTTTTAAAGATAAGGACAACTATCGGCTCATTCAATGACGTTGGTACACTCTCTAGTTCCCAAACCTTTGTAAACAACGTCGTCAGTCCCTCAGTCAGAAAGTCACCACCATCTTTAAAAAGAGCCGGAGGTAAGTCGTCTGGGCCCGGTGATTTGTAACGTTTCAAGAGTTGGAGTTTCTTGCGGACTTCCGCCTCATTTGGTGGATCAGTCGTCACCAGCCATGGAGGGCAAGACAGTCTGACGGATGTTGCTGGAGCAGCAGGCCAGTTGAACTGCCTTTTGAAATATTCTGCTCATCGTACAGGACGTCGGTGGATGTTAGTGATTGGCGTTCCGTCATCCTCGCAGATTGTTTCGCTTACACCAGACTTCTTGCTGCCAGTGGCTCGGATGAGTTGGAAGCTTCCGGTAATTACCAGAGGCAGCTGCTGCTTCCAGCTCATTGTTGCGCATGCCCGACCACCGACTGCCCCGACGTGCTATGTTTTATGGTGTAGGAGTAGGTTGGAAGAAAGCTAGGAGCGGCCAGACCAAAACATGGCACAAATCCATGAAGTCACTGACAAGTGGACTGAGTCATGTTGGTAGGTGTAGACTACCTGGTTGGGGACCGCGAGACGATAGCAACCGATGGTTAGAGACCTTGAATGACATGGCTCAAAATCGTTTGCAATGGCGCAGGTGCATCCACTCTTTGTGTTCTCTCAAACTCTAATCTTCTGAATTCTTCATGTCCTTCATTTTTTTTCCCAATTTATTCCACTGGATTATACTCCTTTAATAACATCATCAAACCTTAATGTTCCCTATCTCTACTTATACTTTCAGTACATCTACCACTATAGGATTTGAATCGATAACTGAATCTCTGTGCTAATGTGGTATGGGAACTCGAACTGATGTACGTACGTACGAAGTACCACGTTGTTACTGACTGACTGACTGACTCCAGCTCATTAGCACGCTCCGACCACCAGGCTTCTCGGTCCTTACGCAAGCTTTGCCCGATTTCATTACGTAACATCCTTCGTCTGTGGTCAAACTCACGGTCACCCGGACTAGTCCGACCGGCTTCAATCAGTTGTAAGGCACCAGAAGAAAACCAGTGCTTATAAGCGGGACGTTTCGATATTAATGTACTGACAAGTTAATTTTTTCTAAATGGTAATTCTTTGCATACAATTAAGAAAAAGAATGCAGTGTAACATAAATAGTTTCACTGATAAAATAAGTACGGGTTAATATGTACTTGGTTTTAATAACTAAATTTTCTTTTTATAAAAGAATTATGAATGCAATAAGCGTTTATCATTTCGAGTGAAACAAAATGTATGAGTGTTACGATAAACACATAAAGATGAGATCTTTTCTGTTCATTCGAAGTACAATTAATTTTATCCTATTTATTCTACTCGAATGTGATGTGTAACAAAAGAAATTTAAACTATCAATTGAAGTGATGCCCTTTTCTTATAATTCAATAGAATGAAATAATCTTTATTTAATCTTTACTTATTTCAAAATAGCAGAGATTACTTAAAAGATTTTCGGCATCAAAAAAGGCATTGTGAAAAAAAGATAACTGATGCAAATTTTAGTGTTGATTAGAATGATCAATGATATGTAATCGTATAATGTTTTCAAAAAATTTTAACAAATAGTTCTAGGGTGTAATTCCTCTCATGGTATCAATGGGAGCTACAATATTGGGGAAAATTTTATTCTTAATTTACAGGCATCTGGTAAATGACAATGAATAGTCAACGAATTTACAAATATGTTAACTATGTATTTTAGTGTTATCGCCTAAACATCTTTTTCATATAATTGAAATCTCAGACAAAAGATTGCTTATCCATATTTTTTAGCTTGTGTGATCAGACTTAAAGAGATTATGATATTGATTCAACAGTTTGCATAACAATGTCATATGTACTTGCCTAATATTAAAAAGCTAGTTAGTTGCTTTTTAAATAAATATTTGCTGGTGCTCTTGGAAAATTGTAATAGGATCAATTGCAAATTGGAAGGACATGTCTCAATTCCTGAAAGCTAAATTTATGTATATTAACGAGATTGAGTACGAACATGACATTCTCATACACTAGTTGTGTGTCATAAAAGATGCTTTGAAGTAGCGTCAAAATATTAAAACCATTATTAAATAGGGTTTGACTTTTCCAGTTGTTTATATTACAGTATTAATAGTAACTATATCGAGGAAATCTGCAAAAGATGGATAATGATTGACTAGATCTCACTCCCTAACATGAACAAGTATGTAAATCAAAACCTTTCTATTAATGATAGAATCATTAGCGCTGAACAAAATAGGGGCTATCACAATTTGGTAGGTAAAAAGAATAAAAAGTTGGGTGTCTGGAGCTAAACATACTGGGTTTCAGTTCAGGTGTGAACATCAAAAATGCCTTGTAAAAACAGTGAAATATGGTGAACTTTTAACAAAATCAGTGTTATCGATGAGATCCTTGGTTAAAATAAATACAAAATTTCAAATATATTATGAACATAATAAAAATATAGAATCAAAAACTTACGGTATGATGACCAATATCTGAAAGAGTATCGATAGCTTTTCTAATAAACGGAGCTTGATTTAAATTTAACAATTGTGTTAGTAATTGGGAAACACGTTTTGACTGATGATTAATTTCTATTACTATATCTGACATAGATGTTGAAGACGACATATGATATTGTTGTTGTTTCTGAAGACAGGTGAGACGTTCCAATTCTTTCGCTTCCATAATTAAATACGATGTGAGTAAACGAGATTGTTTTGTCAGTTGATTATTACTGGTAGAATTTGATATAGCACGTAGTCCACGTTCAACAATTGCTCGAGCATCAATAACTCCTTTATTAAGACTACTATTAATAGACTGATGATCTACTTTGCTTGACAATACGTGTGTCATATAAGCAATCCAACAAAATTCATTTGATGGCATATTACGAACGGCTAATTCAAATTCTTCTGTAGATTGTGGATGTAATTGTCCCTTAGGAAGATATTGTTGTTCAGTGGTCAATTCTGCTAACATAGCTTTGCGCATCTCCATATCTCGTAAACGCCATTCCTTGGCAGCCTGACTCTCTACAAGGAGCAAAATAGGCGGAAGTTATTATAAACAACGACGATATTTGTTATTTGACTACTTAGTAACCGAAGACAAGTTTTGAAACACTAATAATAAGGTGTATCGGAGATGGTGAACAAAAGTAAAAGGATATCGCCATAATGAATAAAAGATATTACAAGACTCTTAAAAGTCTTCAAGTTTCGTAATGTTCATAGTTCTACTAGACTACAGCTGGATCATTATCTACAATAAAAAGAATCGGCATACAACTGAAAAATCAAACGCCAGAAACTTTTTATCTCATGAGCTTATCAGTACTTAGAATAGTTACCTTGATGCACTCGCTATATTTTTATGTATACTATATTAACTGAATCACATCAATTGTGGATTTATTACTAAAAAAAGTTGAAAAAACAGTTCTCAGTGGAGAATCCTGGTACAAGAAATCAGACTGATACATACATAAACCAACATCGCTGAATATTATTCATAAAACCAGATTCAATCTTTTATTTACAGAAACATGGATTCAGATCTTAATTCTCTTAGAATGATATAGTCTCCCTTCAACATTCTAATAATAAGTTTGAATTCTTAAGTATAAACGTGTTAAAGTAACCCCGAAATAACGGACTTCATATTCTAAAAAATCAGAACAAAAACGTTTATTTACCATTTTTATCATTTCTCTCAATATTCAAATGTTCATCATTGTTTGGATCTGTTGATTCGAGTGTTTTATGTGTCTGCATTTCATCATCAAATCCATTTTCATTATCAGGATACATAAATTTTTCATAACGTTTAAGTAAATTTTTAGAGAAAATGTTGTCACTATTCAAAGATACAAATGATGACTGTATATTATTTACAGATTTATTTGATTTTTTACTTTTGACCTTAATTTTTACATCATTCATAGATTCATTACTAAGTAGATTAGTTTCATCTTCTAGACGAGGTTGTTTTTTCTTAGAACTCTTTGATATAAAAGTTGACTTAGCGTTGAATAGCTCTCCATCATTTAATGATTCATCTAAGTCAGTTAGCCTTCTTTTACGTGACTGACTGCCATCATGTTGTTGAGTAACAGCAGAATGTTCTTTTATTGTTTTAGTCACGGTTTTTTTCTTTTTGCTTTGTTTTAGTATATTCTCTTTACTAATCGGAATTGCATTTGAAGTAGGTTCACAATTCATTAACTCTAAACTGTTAGATGTTTCGTTCAAATCATCATGAAAAATTAATTCTCGTTTTTGTGATTCACTAGTGTTTTTTTGAGTGGATACTTCACTGAGTAATTTTTTAACAAGCTCATTCATACAATCCTCCGAAAGATGTTCACAATTATTAGAATTATCACAAACTAATTCACCGACAAGATTATCATTGATGAGCCTAAAAGTGAAAGAGGGAAGTGAATAAGTAGTTGAATACAAAATTTTTAACATGGAAAGAACTATACTATACTTTGACAATTAACTGTATTTAGACACAAATGAATCAAGCTAACTGGAAATCACATTAACAATTTAAATGTGAACTGATATCGAGAATGTGAATTTTTTAATAGCTTGTGAATTAATTAATTATGTCTTTCCAATGAACAATAAATATAATATCTAATGTTGTTAGATCACTACCACGCAGCAAAAAAAGTTTTAAAATATAATAAACAATCATGTGAAAGGAATTAGACCAGACATAATGAACGAGATCGAATGATCTTATCCAGCTGTTTGAATGATAGTTAAACCACTGATTTAAGATTGAGAACGACCCACAACCTGATGCTTACGAGAACCACACCACCATCACAGACTAAGTCCAAGGATCTGCCAACGTACGAGGTTGAATGTCCGGTGTATTCTCGAGACTGCAGACCAAACTATGGTCCTTGGAATAAAACATATGTGGTCAGAAGGCTAGGATAAATCATGTACGAAGTAGAGGTGAGAAGAGTCAAGTGGACTCGACACCGAAACCAACTGTGTAAACGGCTAGTACCCAGTTCACCCATCAACAGAAGGAAATCTCATATTCGAAATTCTGTTGGATTCCTTCAATCGACCTGCGTTCCAGATGATCACTTCGACAACGACGACAAGCGTTCAAGATGCAGGTGCACCCGAAGAACGTAAGCTACTAAAACGGGAGGTTTTGGGGATGCTAGATTCCAAGAAATCACTTGGTAAACGTCTTGTTTTCGTGAATTTATTATAGAAATTTGAACTTCTCATTTTCGCATTAAAAGCGCCCATTTATACCTTCAGATGGTATTTTCCAATTGAAAGGACTCGCCGAATTGCTGTTTGAAGAGATTAAGAGATCACCAAAAAATCGGCGAACGGAAGGAAGGATCAGTGACAAAAAGACAAGGCAGCCAGACTATTCCAATAAATCCCATCCCCGTCGTCAATTGTTATGACTGCGTCGCCAACTGTTATGTCTGGTTATCGTGTTTGGGATTAATAAATCTTCATTTGTTCCAATATCGGTGTTGATAATTCGAGTTGTGGGAACTGTAGTGGTTTTTCGTTTACAGTTATAAGTAATGAGATCCCGACATGACGATCAGTGACGACCAGACAAAACTGTTGGCGACATCGTCATAACAACTGACAATCAGTCATAAAAAAATTACAACGGACACGCAAAAAACAACTATACCTCTTAGGGCGAACAAGAAGATGATCACCAGCTTTAAACCAGATTCCACAAATACTCAGTTGATTTTTCAAATTGGGGGGAAAAGGAACCAGAATATCCGTAGTTCGAGATAAACTAGAATTTAAAAAATTGAGAAAATAAATATGAGGTTCATAAAGAACATTTTTGATGTGATTATGTAAAAACTTACTTATAAAACAACTACAAAATGTGTAGGGGTTCTAAATTCCCTTGAAAATTAAGAAAAACATTTCAGACTAAATAATTTCCACCAAATAAATTTAAATAACCTTACTTAAAAGCAATTTCACCAAATAGTCCAAGAAATTACTAATCTACAATCAGATGGAAACTAAAAACTAAGAATTTAAACAAATTACGTCTAAATTGGAAATATTAATTGCATGCATTGACTATTTAAAAGCAGGTTTCTGATTTCCTAGGTCTACATGAACCCCATAACAACAGGTGACATTATGGGCTACAATCAAGCATTACGAGAAAAGTCTTAAAATTTCACTTACTTTTTCTTTCTGATAGTAAATTGCAGTTGGTTTGTTAGTAAATGTAACGTATACCAGAAAATTTGGTTAACAGGTAATCAAAATCTAATGAGTTTACGTAAATTATCGAACCCTTGTTTGACTACTGAATTTTCTAATGTTTATTTTACACTTCTCTTACTAGTTTATTTGACACATATAGTACAAAAATTGTTTACATAAACGAAACAAAGTAAAATTAATCACACTTAAAATACCTTATTTCCTATATTTCACAGTGTGAGTTATTGAGAAACAGAAACATCTAAGAAATTGATGACACATTTAGTTGAAGCAAACTTTTTACTAAAGTATATATATACTCATATCGCATAGAACAACAGTTAAAATAACTTACCACAATACAAGTCCATGTGGACGAACAGTCTTAACAAATCCATCAACTGGTACATCAAAATCAGGTAGTTTATTAACTGACTGTTGTTCAGTGTTTGATTCAACAGGATCTCGTCTATTGGCGAACAAATTAAAGATATTTTTAAAAGAACATCATTCAAATCGTGCAACACAAGACACATACAATATTCACTTAAATGTAATCATACTTGGCAAGATTAAATAATCTATTCCAACAATTTAATTATTTGTTTAGTTTAAACGAATATCAATTGTTTAAAACTATATATTACCTAAATGTGGAAATGATAACTTTTTCATACATTGCTGAGGATAGTTTGATAGTGAATTTCAATTAAAATGAAACTACTGTGACTAATCACCAACTGGACTTTAACAGTAAAGTAGGATTTTCATAGGTGCTGGGTACGCCAAAATATATATAAAGTATACACTACAGCTAGACGTTTAAATCAAAGATGAATGGTTGGAGTGATCAGAAATTACGATATTCAATCAAAAAGGTGACTACTGAAAAAAAGTATATAAAAAAGAGCACTGGAATGGAAAATAACATTTTAAATGATGTGAATTATGTTCGATCCACTCTCTATCCCTCTGCCCAATGATGAATCAAAAAAGTAGTTTTCTAAAAGTCTAAAGAATAGTCTGCTTTCAACAGATACTGTTGTTCTTTAAATTTGATAACAAATTATTATTTTTATTACCCTAGTCACGTTATCTCATATCTGTTTCGAACTGGGGGATAATCTCTTTAGGGGGATGTCTCAAACATGTTTGAGAAATGTTTGGTGAATTTCAAACTTTGAATAAATTTTGAATGCCAAAAAAATGCCTTACTCATAAATTTGAAAAAAGAACTCGGCTCTCTTCATCATATGTGTTCCTGAAAACATTCTACTTTGTACTTCATAGTTAAACCTAGTGTGGCTTATACTCAAGTACCTGAGAAATGAGCTTTTTCTGTTAAGGAAGCGTTGAAAATATTTATACAAAACTACCTTATAAGAAAAATACTAATATACTTACAACAGTTTAACTTTATTGGAGACGAAATATATAATTTCACTGGTATCGTTGACATCAAAGATATCATCAGAATTCGTATTGACATTTTGGCATTGATCCACGATTCGACAAGTAATGAAATAATGTGCTTTGATTTGGTTCGAGTGTTCGTGAATATTAAAAATTCTTGATGATGAAGACGGTAACGCAGAATCATTAGACGTTTCAGTTAAATCCAATGGCTTAACATCTAAATCTGAATAATTCATATCAGTAACATGCAAACGTCCACTAGCACGGCCAGGTAGAAAAACAGTCCAATAGTCGGATTTTAAACGGGATACCTGTGCGCAGACTACCTGTCCAACGGATACTTTGGGTTTATCTACGAGATTATGAAAAAGCATATTACTACCTTATATAGGGATAATAATCGATCATTGTAATTAAAAAGCCACGGTAAACAATTCTAGTAACCCATAAATAACACTGATCGTTTAGCTTATCAAGTTGTAAGATAGTGAACTATAAAAAATAATACGATTAGCTGTCGAAATAAAAGTAAGTGAAGTATGACTAAGTGTTTTCGATTTAATTTATAATAGGGTAATTAATCACCTCGAAAATGTTATGGATTAATTTCAGTTAGTAGACAGATAAATTTGTTCAAGGTGATGTTCAGTATAAAAATCTTTGACAAAATTATATCGGAAAATCATAAGAAACAAAACATCGAACACTACAAGACGAAACCGATGTCAGAAGATGAATAATTCTACACAGTGACATGAGTCAATCAGATGTAGATTATAATTCAATTAAAATTATATGATAATTTATAGTGAAGTGAAAGTAAACTAACAGATAATTACTTGTATAGAAACTGTAAACAAACTCCCTCAAAAATGTACGCCAATAACTGATGTAATGCCGAAGATTAAGTTTAGCAGTCAGGTTTTAATTGATAGAGTAATGCGTGATGTACAAGCTTATTTTCACCAATCGATTATGACAGCTGATGATGTTTATTCTGCTGGCGAGACTATATTTTATGGACGAACTTTCAGAGATACCAAGGTAACCTTGAAAACGTCGACCACTTACTAGGATCGGAATAAAGCCATAAATTAATGCGAGGAATTAGAACTAAGAGTAGAGGTTAGAACTTAGATTTGGCGTATTCATTGCAAACTGACAGCGGTTGTAAGGCCAACGTGTTATCTGACTGCTTGAATGGGTGAATTACGCACCAAAATTCAGGAGTCACTTACCTAAATCTAATTACTTAGTTCATAAATTAGTCTTGTAGCCAGTAATTTGATCTCATGAGTAGACACCACCTAACTACTTCACATCATTCTGTTCATTTAACAATATGCATTCCATTTACTGATTTTAACAATCGAAAATTTCGTGTCATCTTCCTTCATAACATTGATGAAGTTTTTTATTTCGTTTGAGCAATTTTAACACGGTTAATGTCCACTTCCTTCTACAATGGTTTACGGAATAATAATAGATTTTGCTTCAACCACACTTGTTCAGTTATTATCCATGCTAAGAATGTCTATTATATGAAACTCATAAATTACAGTTGCATGCTTAATTTCGGAAATCTCATAACGAGATAAGTTTACTGATAATAAATAGAATGTTGCTTAGGAGGATGTTCTCCAAAAGAAGACACTTCTTTATTTTTTAATGTTCAAATCAACTTTACACTACAATATGTACAAACTGACGAACACTAGCATTGAATATGAAAATGGTTAACCACAAGAAAATGCACAATTTATCTAGATACAAACACAAATATGGTATGAAGGTCATTAATCTGATTAATTGTTAAACCTTTGAAATAAAAAAACCTAAATGAAATGTCGACTATATTTTGTACTTTAGTCCAAAATAAAAACTATAAACAAATATAGATGAGTCATAAGGTTATATGCTAAAGTGTGTGTTTCCCATGTTAATATTGTCTTTGTGTGATAAATAGAAAAAGATGAACAAAATCTACAGTAGGAAGAACCAGAACAATAGGAGAACACTAAGGTCAACCGAGGTTAGAAGAGCCATTTAGGAAGCACCAAACAAATTTTGGAAAAAATACTTGCAAAACGGAAAACATAATCTCCATATTTCTGAAAATAGTTGTGACCTTCAATGTTATATCCAGAATAAGATAAGGATTGTTTGAAGTGGTGATGATATATGCTTAGAATTGTAATATCTTTTGACTGAAAAGATTAGAAACTATCAAAATAAAATACTTGGTAAAATTTATTGACGTCTGAACACAGATCTTAACAAAAAGTAAAGGTTCAGACATTTTGAATGAGAGAATATTTGACAAAGTTCCCACAGAAACTATATATTCTTCGCCATATGTTAAGGCGATATGAAAGTCATGACATGATCAGAATCCGTCTCTGATGTATTTTATCAAAATAAAAACTATACAAACAATCTTTGTGAGACAATCAACGGCAATAAATAATATTCGTTTTGTTCCGTTGTATTATTTAAACTTGGATTAATTTTAAATTGGTTATATATTACCTGAAGAAGTGGCTTACATTAAGTCACAAAAAATCAGAAAATTTAATTTTCCTACTCATTGGAATACTACAAAGGTGTTATTTATTTATAAAAATCTACCCAATGCTCAATTTATTCGAAATTATCAAACCAAACCTTGGTAATAATACCTACAATCAAAGACAATTTTTGAATCTGCTAATGAAATCATTTTATGTGGTGATCTTAGTTGTAACATAACTTATACTCTTTTCCCTGTTAGTTAATCTATTCGTATTACCGGTACACATTGTTAGTTAGATCAACATGGACTGAAATTTACGTAATCGTTCCCTTAGTCCGTTGGCATTAATTATATATATTAATTATAAAGAAAATGAATAGTTAAGGATTTCATAGAATGTTAAACCAATAAATAAACGACAAATCATACATAATATATATTTGATTAATTAAAGCGAAAAAGTAGACATAGTATGCTTACCAAGGAAGGTGATTTCTGAGATTTTCGAACGAAATCCCGCATTTTTACGCCTAAGAATTAGTTTATCATCAAGGTAAGAGAATAAAACAGTTGCAATCCTTTCAATTTTCGTACCAACCTCAGGTGGATGACTTGAAAATGCCCTGATAGATTTAACAGTATTATCCCAATTGATTAAATGACAATATACATGTGGACCTTTAATTGAGCCAACAGCGAAAAATGCTGTTTGAGCAGAAATACTAACAAAGTAGAGATCAGAAATTTGTTGACCTGCTTGAAAAGTAATGAGATTTGATTTATTTAATATGCCACTGTTTTCCTCATTAGTTATACTGGTTGAGTTATTTTGTTTCTCTGAAGTCGTTTCCATCTGATTATCTTCAATTGAATCATAGATTGTTAAAGTACACAATTGCAACTTCGTTGAACTGCTTTCTTGTTGGAATGATCTAATAATGAAAAGATTGAGAACTGTCACTGCAATTGATATATATATATATATATATATATATATATATATATATATATATATATATAGCTTGTTTTCAATTCAGGCTAATAATTCGTACAAACTTCATTCAAACAATTGGGTATCAAATACCAAATAAATAGCTTTGTAAAACGTACAAATATCGAAACAAGGTAAACACCTGTCTAAATGGACTGAATAAGCCTAATTGACATCACATCAGTAGGAAAGTAAAAAAACAATGCAAGAATATCACTTGAAGTGGAATGATGTAAATTCATTTTTTTCGCAGAATTCTTGTCATCTTGCTTACAATTTAGGTAACACTTCATTGTCAAAATATATATGCAGTTTTGTGCTCCAATCAGTTAAGTACAAAAAATAGACAGGATAAGATTCATTTGATTCGGTTCAAACCAGTGTAATTAAATTAATAAAGAAAAAAGAGTTTATGGAAAAGTCATATATATCATGTATTCCTATTGAAAATAAACAAATCCATAAATAATAGTGGACTTCATTTCCATTGGTTTCAATTACGAAGTACTGATCAATTTATTTAGTACAGCTAATTAAATTATGTAAATATTTGCCATGTAGGAAATTTGCTCCAGATAACAAAAATAACTAGTAGAACGAATTATATAATACATAACATATTTCTGAAAAAAAAATACCTACAAATCACGTTAATATCATAGATTATAGTTGGAGGTAAGCAATTATTGAGAGACAATAGTTAAGCGCTTGCGACAAAATCCGCTGGTACGGCCGAGGATGGGGAGAGTCCACTCTCCCTCTTCAAATGCTCTCACATGGCCACATGCATACAACCACTGCCAGGGAAGTCCTACTCACTATCTTCCCATGGCAGGGATGTTGTTTACAAAATTGAAAGAACGAAAAGTGAATGTCCTGCGCTTTAATCGGGTTGATGGTTATGGAGGATCCACCTAGAGGAGTTGGAAAGCCCTGATTCCAAACCAATAGTGCACATGAGCTCTAGGATCCTGATGGAACAAAATGCATATGAACATATTGTTGGTCATCGACTAACATGGGACTGCATCTCCTTACGATGTTCCACAGCCCTGTGGCCAGACCGTTGTTGCCACCTTGACGTGGTGGTCGGGCTTGCCTATCGTGATGAAGCAACTGAGCTATACTGGCTGGAACGACTGTTCCTCAAGGTTCTACCATGCCAGACAGGTCGGTTGAAGAGCGGTAAGACTAAAAGCAACAAAATCAAGGTCCGAAGGCGAAGTCGTACTGCTGACTGTACAGAGGTGTGACAGCAGTAAGGTGTTTCCTTCAGACAACCAACATAACAGCGATGCTGCCTTCCCAAAAGGAGGGGAGGGGTTAGAAAAGGTCGACCCTAAAAATGCACACCTCGCCTTATCCCACGGATCTCCGTCTCCGGCGGTAAGGTCTCAACAAGTACGGAGCTAACACAAAAATTACTCATAAAAAGGTCGTGTGTGACCGACCTCAAGCAGCTGTACCTTGGGCACTGCGGTCACGCTCTCAGGTCACTATGACCACCTCTAATCCAATTTCCTTTTCAGGTACCTCCGGAAGAACCCTTCCACGGTGTGGGCAACCGGGAAGTGATAACCGCCCTCATACCTCTAACAGCACTCAAGACCACTGTATTCATAATCAACCTACCTCTTCAATTCCTATTATTCCTCCTACATCGACTTTCAAATCTAAACTTCCTCTTTTGGCTTCCGCCTCAAGTGTCACCACAGCCAAAGATTCTAGTGCACAGAACACTGTCCCAGGTCTTCTGAAACCTCGCTCCAAACTACACATTGGAGCCTTCAACGTACGCACACTATGCCAAATCGGTCAGCAGGCTTCCTTGGCTAAAACCTTAGAATCTTGTACGATTGATGTATGCTGTGTCTCCGAAACACGCATACAGGATCCTAGTGTGGTCATTCACTTGACCTCATCTCGTCAAAACGGAGAGCCGATGAGATACACCCTCCGTGTATCTGACGACCCGATGGCTAGTTCTCGTGGACTTGCAGGTGTAGGCATAGCACTAAGCATGAGGGCGGAACAAGCGCTATTAGAGTGGATCCCCGTTAATAGTCGTCTATGCGCTGTTCGGCTAAACGGCTCCGTAAGAACTCGAAAGGATAGGGACACACGTCGTTGCCTTTTCGTCGTTTCTGCCTACGCTCCCACTGACTGCAGTTTGGATGAAGTGAAAGATGAATTTTACAGAAAACTCTCTGAACTTCTTCAGAAAGCTAAACGTTCAGACATAGTACTCGTAGCAGGCGACTTTAATGCCCAGGTAGGTAGCTTAAACAAAACAAAAAGACATTTAGGTGGGTATTTTAGTATTCCGGCACAGAGAACAGATAATGGTGATCGTCTGCTGCAACTGTGCTCAGACAATCGTTTATTTTTAGCAAACACAAACTTTAAGCATAAGGAGAGATATCGTCTAACATGGCGACCCCCTGCACCAAACCAACGATGGACTCAAATAGACCATATTGCCATCAGTCATCGTTGGAGAGGGTCGATAGAAGATTGTCGCTCATTCTGGAGTACTTGCTTGGACTCCGACCATGCCCTAGTACGAGCACGCATCTGCTTGCGCCTCACTGGACGCAAAAAAGCCACACAAAAAAGACTCATTAGAACCGAATTGAGTAATGAGAAAACCAAAAGTACGTTCCAGGAACAACTGAGGTCACACTTAGGTAGTTCTGAAAACGAGGCTGACCCCGATGTTGATTGGAAAGACATACAAGCAGCTGTGGAAACAGCAGTGACATCTACTAGTGATTTAAACCAAAGGGTTACAAAGAACCAATTGATTTCTTCAAGGTCTATTGCACTGATGGATTCTCGTAAACTCATCGCATCAGGTTCTGAACACGATGAAGAGCGTAAAGAGATCAGATCTAGGTTAAGCAAAAGTCTAAGGAGTGATCATGAGCAGTGGTGGGCAACGAAAGCAAAAGAGATGGCAAAGGCGGCGGCTATAGGGAACACAAGACAACTCTACAGACTAATAAAAGAAACTGGAATTAATAAATCAAGTGTAAGTCAGACTATTTCGGAAAAAGACAATGTTCTTATCTGCTCCCAGTCCAGACGTTTAGAACGATGGGCGGAACATTTTAAGGAGCAGTTCAGTTGGCCTTCAGCTACTCTACAACTACCCTCTATTCCCAGACAGTATGAATGGGACATTGAAGTAGGTCCCCCAACTCTAGCTGAAGTTCAAAAGGCTATAGCTAATCTGAAACGAGGAAGGGCAGCTGGTCCAGATGGATTGGCCCCAGAGGTCTTTAAGGATGGTGGTCTAGTTTTGGCGATTAGGTTGACTAATACTTTAGTTAAAATCTGGGAGTTAGACGTTATCCCATCTAACTGGTCACAATCACTTATCGTCCCAATATTTAAGAAAGGGTCAAAATCATCCTGTGACAACCACAGAGGGATTAGTTTAACTAATATAATATCTAAAATACTAGCTTCGATAATTTTCGGACGCCTAACTAAGACTCGTGAACTGCAAACACGTGAAAATCAGGCTGGCTTCAGACCTGGTCGTGGATGCATCGACCACATATTCACCATTCGTCAGGTTCTAGAACACAGGCATACTTATCGGCGTCCGACAATAGTGGTCTTTCTTGATTTAAAAGCAGCGTTTGACTCTGTTGACCGAGAGGTTCTGTGGCAGTGTCTGTCATTGAAAGGCGTACCTCAGAAGTACATAAACCTTGTGAAGGCTCTTTACTCGATCACTAGTAGTCGAGTGAGAGCTTATGGCGAACTGTCATTTGCTTTTGCAACCTCAAGTGGTGTCCATCAAGGCTGTCCACTTTCTCCTTTTTTGTTTAACTTTATCATAGATCTACTGATGGAAATAACGCTCTCATCGACTGAATTCTCAGGTATTGATCTCCTACCAGGAGGTCCACTTATTGACTTAGAACACGCAGATGACATAGTCCTGTTTGGTGAAGACGCTGATGAAATGCAGTCTTTTCGTAGCACTGAGCAACAATGCTAGAATGTTTGGAATGCGCTTCTCTCCCTCTAAATGAAAGTTGTTACTTCACAACTGGTCTGCGTCAACACCTGAACTAAGGATAGGGGGTGAAGTAGTCGAACGCGTCGACAACTTCACTTATCTTGGAAGTCTGATCAGCCCTAATGGGTTGGTGTCTGATGAAATCTCAGCACGGATTCGAAAAGCTCTTTTGGCTTTTACCAACTTACGTCACCTATAGCGAAGGCGAGATATTCGTCTATCAATTAAGGGACGAGTATATTGCGCGGCAGTTCGTTCCGTTCTACTACACGGCTGCGAAACTTGGTCTTTAAGAGTAGAAGATATTCGTAAGTTACTAGTATTTGACCACAGGTGCCTTAGAAATATTGCTCGCATCTGCTGGGATCACCGGGTAAGTAATAGTGAGGTTAGACGTAGGGTATTAGGGAATGATGGTAAATCAGTTGATGAGGTTATGAACCTTCATCGACTGAGATGGTTGGGCCACGTGCTGCGTATGCCTGAACACCGATTACCACGACGCGCAATGCTAACCGGTGTTAGGGATGATTGGAAGAAAGTTAGGGGCGGCCAAACCAAAACGTGGCATCAGTGTTTGAAGTCACTAACTTCTGGTCTGAGCCATGTTGGTAGATGCAGACTGCCTGATTAAAATCACTTCAAATCTTTCTTTCTAGGAACTAACTATCTCCTTATACACAATCTTTCTTCTATATATTACCACCACTGAATTAACTACTTTTATGAATCCGGTGTTCATCTTGTTTGTGCTAATGAGGTATGGCAACTTGGACCGATGCATATACGTGCCTGGTCCTACGTTATAGCTGACTGACTGACTAGTCATTCTCAGTATGTTATTAGGTTGCCGAGTAACTGTGTATAAATAAAATGAATGTTATCTGATTAACAATGTGAAATTATCG